TCATGGGGCTTCATGTAGCACTGCGAGGGGCTGGGGGTTCCTTGCTGGCAATGGAGGGGTTGCTGTGCTGTGACACCTTGGGGCCCTGCTAAGGTCCCCAGTGCACCAGGTGACTCTGCAGAGACAATCAATGCTCCAAGGATTCCTCTGACTCTTCTGGGTGCATCTTCAGGATACCACAATGAGAACGGTGCGGTGATCTTTTGCCAATTCAAGATTGATTTTAAAAGTCAGGTTGGTTTTACAAAGCTGATCCAGTTCTTCCCCCCGAGAGGAATAGATTTACTCCCATGCAGACTGAAGGACTTGCTCTGGGTGCCCCAGTGAGACCCAAGACCAGGCTTGGGCCACAGTTACTTCTCCTTGCCTACATCAGGTTGGTTCAGGGGCCAGCTTTACCCTTCTCTGCAGGGAGCTGAGGGAGAGTTACCTTCCCACTTTTCTTCTGCCTTAGCCCTTGTACTGAACAGCATGGAGACCACTGTCTTTCCAACCAAAAGGGAGAGATAGGACTGTCATTGGGGCTGAGGTTTCGCTACTGTGTGCCCTCACATCATCTCTCCACCACTGCTCTCACAGGCTCAGCAGACAGCCAGCGCTTCAGCCAAGGACTCGTCATCCCTTCCCACTCCATCTAATGGCTTCTCTTTACACCTACAGACCACAAACATTTGGGCTTGTTTTTGTAACTGCAAGTGTGCCATCTGGCAAAACGAAATACACTTCCCCCGAGTATCTCTACAAGGCAGAGGTACAAAACGTGACTTGTGACAGCATGGTGGGAATCAAGGAAAGGGGCTGGTGCTGCAGCCAGGCTGCCAGAGGTATCTCCCAGGCTTTGCATCCTTCAAGAAGTAGGAACAGGAGAAAAATACAATCAGAAACAGTGTCAGGAAGCCAGAGACTCAGCAGCTCTCCAAGTTGAGTGCTCTCCACTACATAACCACACTACTACTACTTTGCATTTTCCTATGGACCTTATTATTTCTGGAATAGATTTAGAGGGAAAAAAGAAATTGTGTCTCTCTAGTCTGGTCTGTAGTACAGACTCCAGAGAGAAGCTGCTTTGAACGCTCTAACAGAAACCTCACTTTTATCTGGAGATGCTTATTGTAGTCCTTAGGGGCATATATAAAAGCTGGGTTATTGGCATCATCAGCATTGTCTTCTCAAGAAGAGAGAGCTTGTCTCAGCTCTCACAGAGTCTATCTGCAGGTACTTTCCCCAGAGATTCCCAATTCCAGACCCAGGATGGTCTCCAGTCACCACCTACAGCACCAGCAGACACATCCCCCTGCACCCAGATGGGGAACCACAAGGAGCTCCTGCTCCTCAGCAAGGGAACACTACAAACTGGGTACAAACACTGAAGGAAGGGGAAGGCAATGATTATTTTAACCTAACATGTCACTCACACCCACACACCTACAAACACACATTGACACGTTCACCAAAAGGTGGTCAGGGTCACTGTGTGTGGCACAGAAAACAAGGGACACCCACCAGCGAGTCCTAATGACAGCCCTAGCATCCCTCATTGACAGCAGAGATGGGTTCTGGGACACATTTTTCACATGCCTTTGGAGTCAGTGGTTATTACAGGCCGATCTTTATCTCAGCATCTTGCTTACTCACCCTCCAAAAACCCTAGGAAAGCTGCTGCCTGTTGCCTCCTTTCCATCCCTTTGGTCATCTTATCTACTCCTTCCTCTTGGAACTACAGGAAGAAACATCATGGTGTGACACTGCTCCCGTTATCAGGGAAGCAATCCTCTGCTGATGAGCCATCTGTGCTGTGGCCTTATCACGGCACAGACCTCCCAGTCCTGACACAAACCACACATCCTGTGGTGTTTACCCACTTGGTTGCTGCCAGTCACGTCTTTGGCCATCAGCACAGGCCAAAGCATCCCTTCCTCTAGAATTCCTGCTGGAGTTTTCACACACTTTTCCACCCACACTCCATCCACACTGGCCTTAGTATTTCCATTAAAAATCTCTACATTACTCCCACCAAAGGCAGGATCCCCATTATAAATCACATGAACACTGCTAGCAGATTTTAAGTCTAAGCCAGCCACGCTAGCTCCAGCTGCTAGCAAGAAGCTGGTTCATGTTTAATGATGGTGTTCTTTGCCACTGTGCATAAATGGTTCCTCCAGGCAGCAGGTTTATGAGCTTCTCAAGGTGATGGTACCTTCAGCCATCGGACCATAAGCAGCCCTCAGGTCACCTTCTCATCCTGGGCACTGAGATGGGCCTGTGGCACGGCCACAGGGCAGCAGGCAGGTACATGAAAGTCTGCAGGGAACGTGTGTCCACATGGCAGCCAGAGCACCCCTGAAGAGGCCAAAGAAAAGAGAGAGGTGCAAGCTCTGGGCCATGCCTCAGCCTCCACATGCATCCTCAGCTGTGCTGCAAGGTCTTGGATGTCCCCCTGGATGTGGGGGGAGTGAGCAAGCAGCTGGGTGGGGTTTAGTTGCCAGCTGCAGTTAAACCATGACACCCAGATGCCAGGTGGGCACGGAGTCCTCAGCAGTGCACGCCTGACAGGCACCTCAAAGACAGCTCTCATGCCTGGGACACCAACTTCCATGGGACTGAGCAGCTCTGGAGGCTGCTGGCAATGGGAAAATTGGAGCCAGCCTATCCAGCTTAATCTCATCCCAGGGAAATGGCAGGTCCCATCAGGAGCTTGTTGCTGCCTCCTCTCATGAGTGCAAGCCAGAGGAAATCACCCTCACCTCCCAAAGGACACAGGGAGCTCTGGTACTCCGTGAAATGATGCTGGGTGGCAGTTCCCAGAGCTGGAAAGATTGACCACTCTGCTATCAGTTCAAGCTAATAGATATATCACACCTCCCCTTGCAAAGGTCAGGGTCTTGTAGGTCAGACTAATCCCAAGGACTGCTGTTCCTGGATATTTGGTACCCACTCCCACTGCATCTGCAGAGCAAATCCATAATTATCCATGCACATGAATCCCAACGCACAGAGTGCAACTGTGTCTTTTGCTTCTGCATCTGGAGTGTGCACAGGTGTCCCTGATCCAGGACACATTGCAAACACCCAGCTGTGTCATTAACTGGGGTATGTCAGAGCCCTGGAGAGCTGGTGGGTTACCTGTGTGACAGTGAGGGATGTGCTGAGGAACTTCCCAAAGATTTGCACGGGCAGTGCCAATGATGAAACCCTGAATGGATGTTGAAGCTGACACCAACTGTCCATCACTCACCCACATGAAGCTTGTGCAGGCACAAAGAAGAATGATTTTTCACACACCCATGCCTGCTGTCTATGAAAAAAAGCCACACAAAAGCTCAGGTACATCTAAATGTCCACTTCTGGGCATGCTCAAGTCATTCAAAAACATTTGCATGAATTTGTGATCATCGTCCTTTGTCACAGTGCGTCACGTCAAGCCACAGACCAAAGGGATTTTGGTAGGAATAAGTAAATAAATGGCTACATAAGTATCTCAGGCAATGTGAATTTGGATCCAAAGCTGGTTTGTTTTTTTTCTCTATCAGCTTCCTGCAAAGAAGGTGGAACACAGCTAGGGTGACAGATGAAAGTGAATGTCACACAGCACCCAGGCCTCTCCATAAACACCAGGTGCCATCTCTTCCTTGAGGAAGCAGAGAAAACAGGGACAAGTAGCCAGGAAGGGCTCCAGCAGGCAGGACCATCTGCCACCAGCCCTCACATAGCCCCAGTGAGATGCTGGGGCCAATGCTCAAGCAGAAAACTCTCCTGCCAGCTCCCATCCCAGCCCAGCTCCTCTGCAGAGAGCTGCTGGATGTATCCTAGCCTGACTGACAAGATAAGCGTAAAATCATGAGTAGCAGCAGTCCTTGGGGCAACCAGCATGGGCTGACTGAGCATCACCAAGCTGGAACAAAGCTGGGGATCAAAAGTCTAAGCACCAGGGAAGCAAAGCAAAATCTCCAAAACTGTAAGGCTCGCACAGCCAGACAAACATCTCCAGGTTCAAGTCTCTCTGCACTCCCTATAAAGTCTCCTGTCTTTATACATGGGGCATGAAGTTAGAAAACTGAATATTCACATTGACAGTTTTATCTTGCAGAGATAGGAAGGGGATATGCTTCCATACTTGGGTTTTATTTATGCAAACTTTATTAAATCATTATTTTGCCCTTCTTTACAGCTGTAAGAGATACACTAAATCTACAGAATTACTATTTCCCAGTCAAGCAGCCAACACATGCCTGGTCCTACAGGACATGCAGCTCTGCTGAGCAGTGTCCCAGACATGGAGCAGGGAGGTTCTCCAGCTGTGCTGCCATCAGGAATTTGCTCACATTCATAGCACTCTCAGCCCACTCCCACCAGGACTCTCTGACTGTTTCTACGCTCTTCCTGTAATCTGGAAAACAATATCACCATGCAAAGGCAGAGGCCCAAGCAGCAAGGGAAACATCTGGCAGGCAAACACCTGGCAGGGCTCAGGATCCTCAGCCCTGCCTGGCACATGGGTGCCCAGGCACAGCAGCACTAATTCCATCTTATGCAAGAGGCTTTAGTCAAGATTCTTCTGTGGTTTGAGAAGCAATGCAGGCAAATCTTAGGAAACACAAACCTCATTTGTGATACAGAAAAACCTAAGAACTTACTAAACAACCCTGTCCACGCCCTGCCAGACACCTGGCAAGCTTCATCCACAACCAGCTTTTTCACTGCAGGCACAGGGCATTTACCAAGAAGGTGCAGGTGTAATGAGACTCACCCTAGCTTGAAAAGGTTCACAACAGTGACTGTCAGTTGACTGAAAACCCGTGCTGGGGTGAACTAAATTCAAGCAAAGATTAATGTTCCAGAGGCTCCCCATCCTCCCAGCATCTGCAGGTTTTGGCAACACCAGCTTCAGGACGAAAAATCACTTGGGAGAGCTCCCTGTAAATCTTCACTGCCCCCTCCAGCCGTGCCCACTTTTGGGGAAACCCATGGCTCTGCCTGTACAGTAAGGAAATATCTCTTACGTTTTGCAGGGCGTCTTGGTACTGTGGCAGTGACGAGAGCTGTGACTCAGAGTGGTACGGGGACAATCCTTTCCTCAGAGTCCTCAGGTCGCCCGTGCTGGACTGCTGCAAGGACAACAGAAAACAGGACAGTCCATATTAATGAGAAAAAAGAAAGCTGTGCCTCTCCTGATGTCCTGGCTTTTCCCATGACTGCATCTGTCCCCCGACCTGTTCTCATTACTTCTCCCTGCACCAACAGCGACAGTGAACACTGTAATAAAATGCTTTTTCCATGTCCAGTCCTAGAGAAAACACCTGCAAGCAGCTGGAGGTGAACTGTTCAAGGTCTGCTACATTAAGTAATACAGCAGGAGGGAATTTTTGTTTCACCTAAGTTCCTACATGCTCAATAAAAACATTTGTTAAGAAGCACATAAAAAAATATTTTTAAGACTTCAGATTAAATCAAAAGCAGCAAAAAATCCACAAACCCCAAACAAACAAACCAACCAACCAAAAAAAAAACCCACCAAAAAAACCCCACACCAGGAGACATTTTCTAGATTAAGGGTTTGTAAGCAGTGCTACTATGATTCACCTAAGCTTGCAAAATGTGTGGTGACAGAAACAGTTTCTTACTTGGCTACAAATTTGCTTGCACCCACAGGTCTTAACCATAGCCAAATAAATGGCGGTAGTCTATATGACCCTGAAAACCAGATAAATATAGCCAATAGTCTGCACTCACAGGGGAAGGAGCACTGGGTGTTAGGAGTACTGAATAATTTCCCTAGGACAAAGTTTCTGCCTTGTGTTTTTAACTCTCTCTGTGATCTTGAAATGTGAAGAATGAGAAGTGTTTATCATTTATTAAAAGTGCACCCAGAAAAAGCCAATTTGCAAGTGTGTTTGTCAAAATTTGCCAAAATCAAAGGTCTGGGAGAAGATTCTATCTTTATCATCAATAAGCATCCTCATTAACTTTTCATATTTTTAAGAGTATCAAGCAGTGCACTGTCCTCTATTTTAAAGCTAAAAAATCATGACCTTTCAGATTTTTATGCTCCATTAAGACTTTCAACTCCCATTTGCTATAGAAATGTTTTCTACTTCAAAAGAACCAAAGAAAAGTCACTGGAGCAATAAAATTTAACAGGAATTCTCATAAATCAACTCAATTGTATATAAAAATCCCACAGTAACCCAGAGGCCTGAACATAATGGAGACTTCGGAGAGCGTTGTCATGCACAGATCTCTGGAAATATTGAAAGTTCATTTCCATTTCATGCTCAAAGAGAAGAATTGGTGCACTCTAAGTGGATACATTATTTTCTATCTCTATCGGAAATATCTTCTTGTATACGTGGCCTGTTTTAGTTGACATTTAGCTTTGGTTTTATTTCAAAATGCTGTCTTCTTAGGTTAAAATTTCTACAGTGACCCAATGCTCTCACAACCATTCTGGAGTCCTCACCCTATCAACTTTCCTTTTATAAGCTGTGAAGAGAAGGGCAGTTCTGAAGAAAGCCATAATGAGAAATGGATTCTAGTCCTGTATGACCCAATCTGCTGGGAACTGTTGTGTCTCACATGGAAGCAAGTGATACACAATGAGTTCAGCATATCAGATATCTGGGATTCCCCTGAATTTACGAAGAGAGAAGATGTGCCCTGTATTTCTTTCACATTTCACAACAGAGAGTCAGAGAGAGAGAGAGAGAGATCTGAAGGAGATAACTCCTTCTGAAGCTGAAAAGTGACTGCCGCAAAACGGAGTTTCCACTATTCCTGGGAGGTTTATCATGTCAAAGAAAGGTTAGCAGGTCACAAAGGAAGATGATAAGAAGACTCTTAGTTTACTGTCAGTGTCCCAGGCATGTGAAGACTCTTGGTGGTTCTCCTGAAAGGATTTCACCTTGGCTGGCTGTGCTCCCACAGCCCTGCTGTGTGCAACCTCTTCTCCACTCTCGAGTGTGCGTGGAGACCTCCTGGAGCGGTCCTGACACTCACTACCCACTCCTGTCAGCTGTCAGCTCAGGCACTCTTCCCTGACATCCGTAGTGAAGGGGCACTTGTGTGGCCAAGGGAAAAGCAGAGTGAAACAGCAGAGCCAAAAAGTGAGGTTGTATCTTTGTGCTGGAGACCCCAGAGGTGGCCGATCTCCTTGAAGTCCCTGCTCCAGAAGAGTGTGTGTTGCCTCAGCAGTTTAGAGCCCATGGATCACCCAGACTTTTGCAAACCACACTGAGACCTGCAAGATGCCACATGATTGTGGGGCACCAGAAACGTAAAAACAGGCCTGAGAAAGAGAGATTTGGTGGACACTTGTTTGCCTCCCAGTAATATTTGCTGTCTTGCCCCCAAATCTAAATGGGTTGGTCTACACCAGATTCCCCATGGTTTCATCACATTACAGCTTGTCTTCACAGAGAGTCAAGATGCTTTGCCCAGCTAAAGAAGGAAGACAACCAAATCCAAGTCCAGACAACACCCAGTATCACACTGCTGTCACTAATATAAGTTAGTTTAAATTGATTTAATTGACTGCCCTATGCTCCTGCCTGGAGAAAAAGTCTGCATTAATTTCAATTTGGCCTAAATTTGTTGAAATTGTGTTGGTAAATACACAGATACAGTGAAAACTCTGCTCTAACAAGTGTTTATAATGGATTCGTTCTATTGCTTTTTTTAAGGCAAATCCCATTTAAGACTGCACTAGTGTGTGACAAAACTATTGTTATGTTGTTTCAGTGGCTGCTGATTACGAATCTGACCTAATGCATTCAATTTGATGGAAAGATTCCCACTGAGTTCAATGAACATCAAAACAAGCTCTTAATTAAAGAACAGAAAGGAAAAACAGAAAAAAAAAAAAAAAAAAAAAAAAAAAAAAAAAAAAGGACATGAAAAAGAAAAGGCATCTAAGAAATAAAAATGCTGAGCAGAGATCTACCCAGAAGAGGAACAAGGTGTTTGGAGCAGAGTGGGTTTGTTAGGGCAAAAACAGTCTTCACTTGCCATTATTTATAAGACATCCCTGTCAGAGATGGGCAGAGTAAACTTTTTCCTCCCACTGTCTGTCATAAAGCCAGTCCCTTTCATGAGCCCTCCACTCCATGCAATTTTCCTTTTGTATTTTCTAGAATTTACTTGGGAACGTATCTTACTTTAATTGCTTGTGTTTTTTTACAACAGGCTACCAATCACAGCCCTGCACTACTTATCTTCCCTGTACTAAAAGCAAATGTGTGGGTTTTTTACCATAGAAAGAAAACTTTCTATGAAAAGAAAACTTCTTCTTTTTTAAAATTAAAATGGTGCAGTGGCACATATTCAACAGAACTCCCTAAACATTTGCACATTCCTTGGGCTTTGCTATCAGTGTTAGAGCTAACCAGGGAAAGAAAGTGAATCCCTCATTAAAAAGCAATATGACTAATGATGCATCAGAATGAGTAGCCATTACTCCACTTAAACCTAAATTAAAAATCCTGGTATTTGCATTGTCAATTCACTCACAAAATGAAATCTCTTATTACCTTACCCAATTTTCATTACTGAGATGTAAGTGGATCCCAAATTGCTTTTCTAGTCAGAAAGACATTTTAAAAGTAGAATCCCTGATCATCTCTGTTCATCATCATTGCTGGAGATTATCTCAACTAATGGGCAACATATCTATAATAAATTATCCTTCAGGTAAAATCACTTCACATTTCTGGAGTTTCAAGGAATATATCAGCAAAGTCACTTTCTTCTGAACTAAAACTCCATGGGAGCACACAGTCTCAACTGAACTTATTGGAAAAGTTTCCTCAGCTGAGGAGCAGAGACAGAAGGAGGGACACAGCAAAGGAGACCAAGTGAGAGCTCAGGAGACTCACACACTTGTCACCAGCAAACACCAAAAACTGGCCACTGACTACTCCAGAGTGGCTCTTGCTCTCCTACTGTGGATATTTTTCAAACCCTAGTTTCATCCATAGTTCAAACAAACAAACAAACCTGCCTCCCCTCCCAGCTGATGAGCACGGGGACAAGGCTGCAGAGCCAGCACCTGCAGCACAAAGCGTGCCACACACTGCCAGCACTGACACCCCACAGCGGGCATCCCCACACCATCGCTCCTCAGTACTCAGAAAAAATGACACAACATTTACTGATAGTTTCTTCAGCTGGGCAGGACTTCAGAGTGACCCAGAAGATACCATTCTTGGAGCAAAGCCCAAGGCCTTTGCCAGCCCAAATGGACACAGGCATGCCTCTCCCAAGGGGAGGGAGTTTGGGCTGCTACCAATGAGAAAAGAGTAGAGCCAACGAATTAAGTTTTTTAGTAAAAATAGACTGCAAACACAACTTTCTTCTGTGTAGAAAACAGAAGCAATTTGATTACAGAGGCAATTTGATGGGTGGAAAATTGGTATTTTCCATAACAAATAATGTATAATTTTAAACGTTTGAGATAGAAATTAAAGTCTTGGTGCTTACCAAAGGCTAAAATTACATTTAAAAAAACCCAAACAACCCAAGACAAAACAATGAAAAAGCAGCAAACACTTGTTCCTATCAAAGCTTTCTGTCCTGCTAGCAAAGAAAAGAAATGGTGGCCTCTGACTTTTTGACCCGCTGTGCTGAGTGGTTCAATTGAAAAATAACACAAATAACACAAGAAGATGGATAGTGTTTGTGGTATTTTAAGGTCAAAGTACTACAAAGAAACATTTATTTTCCTTTCCGTTTCTGCCCAGTAAATTCAGGTCAGTGCTGCGGCCATGTTGGACCAACTGTGAAGATAAAGTGTTGAAAACAGAGACAAGCCAGACAAATTATCTTTTCTGTTACCCTTCAGTGTTACTTCTGCTAGAAGGGAGAAAAAAGAAGAAAAATATTTAATTCTGAAATACTTTGATGCAACAAAATGGACTGTTCTTAACATAAATTAAATAGAGAAAGGCAGAAATTTACTTGACAGAAAGTTCTCAGCATTTATGAGAGATTAGCAAAAAACGATTTCAATTAGAATTATGTTCTGAAGTGACCGAGGAAAATTAAGAAGCAGCACTGTCAGCTCCCAGTAATTCATGAATTAGCATTCAAAACATGGTTGTTACATAAGAAGCTT